CCGAGCGAGGTTGAGGCTGCAAGCAGTTACCTGTCCACCGTGAAATCGACACCAGCCATTGTCGCCGTGCTGCTGGAGCTCCTGGCGCTGCCCGCAGACCAGCGCGACGACACCACCCTCATGCTGGCCGCTCAGGGCGCAGTGGCTCATCTTCGTGCGCGCCTTCTTCCGGAAGACGTGGACCAGTCCACATTCATCCAATACATCACCGCAGCCCTCATGCAGTACAAGAGCGTCAAGCCGTTGCGAAACCAGTTCACCCTCATCATGTGCGTGTATGTGCTACGGCATCACCACCCCGTCATACGGCACCCAAGACAACGGCCGCCACACGCGGGCCTCCCGTACACTGCGCCGCATGCCCACACAACCGACACCGCTCCTGTTGGAAGCGGCGACACCTCGGCTCCTGCGAGCGGCGCCAGCATCGGCACTGACGCCAGCGGAGATGACCAGTCCACGGGGGTCATGGCTGCACTATCTGAGCTGCGGGACCACATCCTAGCACAAGACCCCAGCGCAGAGTGGCTGTGGATGCACATCGTGTCTCTCATCCCGGAAGAAGTGGACAGGAAAGAGTTCAAGCTTGCTACCGCCGAGCGCAACGCCCTGCACCAGATCCTGCGCGAGCATGCGGGCATGATCATCACGCACGGTATGGACAGGATGGACAGCCGCGAGAACCCCTCCCTCTTCCAGGCGTGCGTGCGCGTGTGCAACGCCTGGTGCGCCAGCGGCTTTGTCACGTTTGCGGACATGAAGCCCGTGATTGCCAGCCTCATCTCGTGGCTGCAGCACACGGCGGCAGAGGCGGTTCAAGCCGGCACCGACGTGTACCTGGACGAGGATGTCATGTTCACGCGCGTCACAGAGCTGCTCATGACGTGCACGGAGACATTCACGACGGGGGAGGCGACGGCGTTTATGGGCGACCAAGTGCTCATCATTGCTGATGGCTGCCACCACTACCTCTCCCTCGCTCGCCTCGTGCGCTCCTTTGTCTGCTGCGCCAAAGCACACCTCTTCACAGACCTGCAGACAGTACGTCCGTGTGTGTGTGTGTGTGTGTGTGTGTGTGTGCGTGTGTCTGTGTGTGTGTGTGTGTGTGTGTGTGTGTGTACGCATTGGCGAGGAGATTTGACCTGTTTTTGTGTGTGTGCGCATGATGGTGTGTCTGCATGAAAGCGTTGCCGCTCGATCGCCTCTCCTCATACGTTCGAACTACACCACCGACACCACGCTCAACACGACTCCGACAGGAACAGTGGCAGCTGTTGTTGGAGCACTCGATCGCGTGCACGAGCAGCGCAAATCCGCGCATTGCAGACGAAATGGTTCTTCTCTGGAGCACGCTTCCAGAAACACTCAAGGTGTGTGTGTGTGTGTGTGTGTGTGTCTGTGTGTCTGTGTGTGTGTGTGTGTGTGTGTGTGTGTGTGTGTGTGTGTGTGTGTGTGTGCTCCAGCGCTGTGCACTCACATACATTCGATTTCTCCCGCCCACACCCCCCCCCCTTCCAACACTCAACACACACAAACCACCTTCGCCGACGTGCGATCAGTCCCACCCCATGACGCAAGCTGCAGTCCTGCCGTACTTGAAGCGCGCCCTGGAGGCCGTCGTGTTTCAGGGGCAGCTGCCCCAGGCCGTCACTGCCGACGGCGACGAGTGGGACCGCATCACCACACTGCGCGAGAGCGTGCGCGCGTGTCTGCGCAACATGTTGTACGACATCCCCGGTCTTGGTCCATGGTTTGTCAACGCCGTCACTACCGCGCTTCGCGACGCCCTACGAACCGTAACGGAGGACACGTGGCCCCAGGCAGAGGCGCTCATCCACGGCACGAGCGCTGTTGCCCGCAGGCTGTTCGATGCTCTCGATGCAGACACGGAGGAGGGGGCGTGCCAGCGCGCGTTTGTGGAGCTGTGTTGCCAGGTGCCGGAGCACCCTGCCATGCTGTGCACGGTTGCGCTGCTGTTTGGTGTCATCACAACGATGCTGCCTGGCGCGCTGCTGCCCATGGTTCGCCACACGGTCATGAAGGGCCTCTCGTTCTCGGAGGAGGCCGATGTGTTTCCAATGCGCATCTACGAGGACCACGTCAGCGTCGTCGCACTCATCAAGGTATCATGGCGTGTTTGTTTGATTGTGTGTGTCTGTGTGTCTGTGTGTGTGTGTTGTGTGTTGTGTGTTGTGTATGTTGTCAGCTTCTCGTCTCCCTGAACCGTGTTTCACTCGCCCCTCACCGTCAATCTCCACCACCACCATCACAATCACAACAGCTGGCCCGCGTCCTCCCCGACCCCGCCTTCTTCTCCGAGCTGTGGCAGGCATACCAGTCGCCCCAGGTGCGGAGGGCAACTGCTTGAACTGTGTGTGTGTGTGTGTGTGTGTGTGTGTATGTGTGTGTGTCGTGTGTCTGTGTGTCTGTGTGTCTGTGTGTCTGTGTGTCTGTGTGTCTGTGTCCGTGTCTGTGTGTCTGTGTGTCTGTGTCTGTGTGTGTGATATTATTCGAACCCACACCTCTTTACGACAACTGACCCACTGCTGCATCAACACCCCCCCCCCCCTAACCTCTCCCACTCCACTCCCCCACTGCCCCCAAAACAGGTCCAACAGAGCCTGACGGTGCGCAGTTTCAACCTGTTGTTGGAGGCCATCTGTGAAACCCTGTGCCATCCAGAGGTTGCACAGGACCAGGCTGCTGTGGCCGAGTTTCTGAACGCGTTTTTCAACGAAACGGCTCGCGTGGTTGCGTCAAATGCAATTGGGGAGGACCTGGATAACGCGTTTGCGCGCATTCAGGTCATCTCCAGAACCATCCGCAAGGAGCCGAGCTCGGCGTGCCTGCATGCGACATGGATGGCACACCTGGACGCCAGCACGGAAGGGACGCTGCTCAAGTCGTGCCTTACTGCAGCCATCGCCACGTCACAACAACACCAGCACCAGCACCAGCACCAGCACCAGCAACATCATGGTAGTGTCACTCCACCGGCCCTCGTCCACCCGCGAACAGCGTCTCTGTCGAGAACACAGCGCCACTCGCGCTCAGCGTCACCGCACCACCACCCGTCGTCCCGCTCGCAATCCCCGCACGCGGCACAGCCACCGCTACCATCGTCATCGTCGCTGTCACCGTCAACATCAGCGCTTGCACCAGCAACAGCAGCAGTCACCTCGGCGACTAGCACAACTGGCGCCGCCACCAGCAACACCACGGCTGCTGTCACGGGCACGCCAACGGCAGCATCCACGCCCGGGTCAACATCAACGACGCCAACGCGCCCCACGCTTGCACCGCGCTCCCAATCGGATGTGCCGGTAATAGGCGATGGGCGAGCGACGTGGCTGCCTGCACCCCAGTGCATCAGCGGTCTGTGCGAGTGCATGGAGGTGGTGCTGACAAACCTTGCCGTGTACTCTGATCAGCTTGGACAGCAGGTGCTTGCTGCTGTTGGCTCGTGGCAGCCCGTGTTCACGTCTCCGCACGACCCAAAGGTGTTGGAAATGGTCACCATGCGTTCCAGCGAATGTGCGGCCATTGTTCCCGTGCTCGTATCCGCACTGCGCATGCACGCAGCCTATTCCCAGGACGAGGCCTGTTTCCAGTCCTTCTGCGACCTCGTGTCGTGCTGCTGCACAATGCGACCAGACGCTGTTGCGCAATCAGGCGCGCTCCCGGACATTCTGTCCACATATCTCCACGCGCCCATTGCGGAGATTGCGGCGAGAAACCGCGCCCCCTTCACGGACAAACCGCTCGTGTCGTCGCTGTGTCGCATGGCGGGTGTCGTGCTCACGGCGCAGACCGCGCCACAGCGGCTGCTGCTTGCGGATGTGTATGGCGAGGGGGAAGCGAGCGAGGGGGAGGCCGGCCGCGTCCTCAACACGCTGCTGCTGGCCGTATGTGGCGGTCTCCCCTCCTGGGCACTGGACGACATCATGCAGGCAATTCGCACCATCATGGAGTGTCTGAGTGCGGACGTAACGTCACAGCTGCTGTATGGCGCCATGTGCCAGCCCACCTTTGCTCGCCCCGATGTGAGCGACAAGGCCAAGCTCATCTTCCTCGAAGACTTCCAGCGTCTCGGCGCCACGAGTGATTGGAAGCGCCTGAAGAACGCTGTGAAGAAATTTTGCGGCGGAAAGAAGAAGAACACGTCGGGGACACCTGCCATCGGTGGTGGCAGTGGCGGTGGCAGTGGTGGCCGCGTTCGGACGCGCTCTGCACCCACCATCTGAAACGCTGTGTGTGTGTGTGTGTGTGTGTGTGTGTGTGTGCGTGCGTGTGTGTGTGTGTGTGTGTGTGTGTTTCCGTGTGTGTGTGTGTGTGCTTCTGTGTGTGTGTGTGTCTGTCTGTGTGTGCGTGTGTCTGTGTGTGTGTGCGTCTGTCTGTGTCTGTGTGCGTCTGTCTCTCTGCCCATGTGCGTGTACACTTGTGTCTGTGCCTTGATCTTGTTCTATCAGTGCGTTTTGTCTTCCTTGCCCTGCCCAGCTTTTTTCTTGTGTGTAACTATCCAGCGTTACGCATGTGTGTGTTAAGTTTGTTTTGACTCTCTACCTGCTTGCTTGACGTTCTGCTCGTGCACAATCATGCACACGCGTGTACGTGTGCGTGTGCGTGTGTATGTTGTTCTGTGTTTCCTTCGTGTGCCCATTTGTGCCCTTTTGATCTCATCTTGGCTAGAAAGCTATTCGTGTACTTGTGTTGGCCACCATCGCCTTGTTGCTCACACAACCAACATTATGACACGCAAATCCAAAAGCAAAAGTGAAAAGCAAACTTAAACCAAGGCTGCAATGGATGCACAGCAATGCACAAACGCAGCTGGACACAAAATCGTGCCCACTCTTCTCATGCACGCTCAGTTACACACACGCGCGCACACGCACACCATCAATCAATATTGCATGAATCAATCGATCAATCAGTTCTTCACTGCCCCCCCCCCCACACACACACACGAAAGCAAGTCTAACACACACACACACACACACACACACACACACACACACACACACACACACACACACACGCACACACACGCGCGCGCACACACACACACACACACACACACAGACCGCATCACTGGCCCTGTACACAGTAAAGCGTGATGACGGGGCGGGCGTGTGTGCCATCATCAACAGCCGTGTGGTGCACATGCGAGCCATCACCATCACCATCACCATCGCTGCTGCTGCTGCTGCTTGTTTCCTCCTCCTCCACATCGCGGTTGTGTGGCATTGCGCGTGTTGGCTTGACCAGCCTGCATCGCACCAGCTGGCCAATGGTCGTGCTGCCCATGATGCGTCGCGTGTGGTTCGCGTCTGCGTACACACGCACGTGCACCTCGTCGTCATCAGCGGTGCTGTTGCTCAGTTGCAGCGTCTCCACGAGATCCTCCACCGTGTTGGTGTCACCAACGCCCGCAAGCGTCGCACCGTGGCTGCTGCTGCCACTGCCGCTGCTACTGGCCTGCGAGCGCATGGGAAACGCGCACATGAGATTCATGAGGGAGTAGCCACCTCCGCTTGTCGTTGCTGACGTGCCGTCCTTGCCACTGCTGCCCTCGTGTCCGCGTGACCCCGCCGTGCTGGTCGTGGTGGTGCTGGTGCTACGGCCGCCGCCATCTCGATGCGACGACACCACAAGCCGCACATCATAGAAGCTGCTGGGCTCGTACGTGTCGTCAACAAAGCTGCCCCGGTGGTGCTGGTGCTGGTGCTGGTGGTGATAGTGGCCGTGGTGGTGCGGGCTGTGGTGGTTGACGGGACACACGCCGCTGTCGTACGAAAACCGCTGGTGGTGGCGGTGGCGGTGCTGATGGTGTTGGTGGTGGTGCTGACCAGAGAAGCTGTGCGGGCAGCTCATGCTCCCGCCCTGCATGGTGGCAAACAGCTGCAGGAGGGTTTGCATGTCCACGCCGCCAAGCGCCGACGACGACGACGACGATGCCGCTGGTGCTGGCATGGATGGCCGCTGGCTCTTCTTCTTCGCAGCAGTGAACATGCTCGTGTCGAAATCGGCCTCCGTCGGCGCGAGCGACGGGTCCTCCTGCCCGTAACCGGTGAGGAAGAATGTCTCCATGTTGCCTTTACCCTTGACGGGGATATCACCACGACTCTTCCATGTCACCTTGGAGTCGACGGCGTGCAGCTCGCTCATGGTGGACGCGCTGTACTGGATGCGGCCGGGGCGAGAAGTGCTCTCCATGCGTGACGCGACGTTCACCTGTGGTGTGGTGTGGTGTGGTGTGGTGTGGTGGAAAGGGTGTGGGGGAAAGGGAGTAACATGTGTTGGGAAATTGGTGAGGGATGGTGGGCGCGTGAAAGGCGAGTGGTCAACAAGGGACGTGAGGTGCATTTCAACAGATGGAAAAGGGAGGTGTGTGTGTATGTGTGTGTGTGCGTGTTTGTACATGTGTGTGTGTGTGTGTGTGTCACACGCAAATCAACATTGCCAAAGCTGCAGACACACAGAAGCATGCACAACGTCACAGCCACGTGCGTATCAAGACGCCACCACGCACCGTGTCGCCAAAGAGGCAGTAGCGCGGGCGGGTCTTGCCAATGACACCCGCCATGATGGGGCCAGAGTGCATGCCAATACGGATGGTAATGGGGGTGCCATCGATCGGCGACACGACGTTGCTCGCCTCCTTCATCATCTCCACCGCCAGCTGCGCCATGCGATCAGCGTGGTCCGGAACATACTCCGGAATCCCAGACGCAACCATGTCTGACAACGCGTGAGTGTGTGCGTGTGTGTACGTGTGTGCATGTGTGTGTGAGTGTGTGCGTGCGTGTGTGTGCGTGTGTGTGCGTGTGTGTGCGTGTGTGTGTGTGTGTGAATTAACGCTGAACCGATGTGTGCGCTGCTCAAGGCGTCTGCATTGTGCCTACGACAATAACAGCGACTCAGGGCAACAACAAACAGCGACAAGAAACGCAGCAAGCAGTAGCGATACAAAGTAGCGGCAAGCCATCCCAAAGTGCCATGCAGAGTCTGGCTTGTTGCTCACATGAATCGCCGATGGTCTCGACTTTGTAAACGTCGTACTTCTCGCACAGCCGGTCAAAGCGCGAAAACAGGTCGTTCAGGAATTGCATCACCTGCAGAGCAACGACGCACACGGAGGATGGAGATGGATGGCAACACATGCACGTGGTGCGGTGAGCAATCGACAGAGCGGCTGACGCAACGGTCGCAGTAACGAATTGTGTGCATTGACAAGCGCGCGCGTACGCGACGCAAAGGAAGCCACACAAAAACACACACGCACGCACACATACACGTACGCACACGCACACACACACGCACACACACAAACACACAAAAACACACACACGCACGCACACATACACGTACGCACACGCACACACACACACGCAAAACACACACCACTGCAACTGCAACTCAGCCCACATGCTCCCGCGCGAGTGAGCACCTTTGCCGGTTTGACGCTGCCGACGATACGCGGGAAGGCCGGCACGTCCGAGAAGAGGATGGTGACGCTCTGATATCGTTCCGCCTCTGGGATTTGGCCGTCAGAGAGACACTGGGCTACTTGCTGCTCAGGGGTGGTGGTCGATTTTGTTGGCGTGTTTCGTGGTTGGTGGCGTGGTGGTGGTGGTGCGTGGCGCGTGGGGTGAGCTGCAAGTGGTAGAGAAACCCCACAGAACAAGCAACGAACAACAATACATGTGTGTACACGCGCATACAAGTGAACGCATACATGCACACTCATGAACAAACCTGCACACACACATATGTAAATACACATTCACACACACACACACATCCACACGCACACACGCACACACACACACATACACGCACACAAAAACAAGCACGCAGCGGCCACACCAAGCAACCACGAGCACGAACCTTTGGGAGGATACTGTGTAGCAGCTCCTGGACGCGGTGCTTCTCGTGCGTGACCTCCTGCTGTGCACGCGACAGGTCAGAAGTCGTCTGCTCAAGCTCGGCGGCAATCGAGACGGTGGCCGCCTGGTGGGCGGTGCTGAACAGAATCTCGCGCCCGTTGGAGTGGATGGGGATGTCGGCGAGGGACAGGCCACGCAGGTACATTTCCTCCGGTTTGCTGAACTGCGGCACGCCCGCAAACAGGATGGTGTCTGTCTTGGAGATGTAGATCATCTCGCCCTTGATGTACAGGTAGTCTGTTGCCACGCTGATAAACGACTCGCCCTCCACCGACGAGCACGACACAGTGCGCTGCAGCAACGCGTCGTCGTCGTCGTCCCAGCCGTGCTCGGCCGCACGCGCCCGCAGCTTGGCCATGTGCTTCTGCTCCTTCTTCATGTGGTACTGCTCGTCGCGCGCAATGGCCACAAACGCGTCGTGATCAAACTGCATAAAGGTGGTGAACGTCTTCTGCGGCACGTTGGGCTGCGTCAGCTTGAACACGTCGTGGAAGGTGAGGCTGTCGAGCTTCTGGTCCTGGAACCGCGTTTGCAGCGACGACCCCATGCTCACCACGCGCATCTTGCGGTCAATTTGCACGTGCCACGGGAACAGCTCATCGAAGAGACCCGTGTCGGCGGACAGCTTTGAGAACTGGCGCGCGCGTGCGACGGCGTCCAGGTCGGCCTCGGTGCCAAACGCCTCTGGCGGCAGGTACAGCTTGAAGATGTCGTGGTCCTTGCCCTCGTGTTTCTTCTGGTAGTGTTCGTACTCAAACTCCACGTTGTACACGATGCGCGCCACCTGCCGCAGCAGGTTGATGGCATATGGCCACAGGCCCGGCCGGCTCGAGTAGTAGTGGAGGAGGACGAGGCCGTCATCGTGGCGCTCGGGGCGGAAGCTGGGCGCCTGCATGTCCGGGTACGCGTTGACGAGGTTGCGGTGCAGCGCGTCCACGTGCTGCAGGCACTCGTAGAACGTGCGGCCGAGAGCCTGCACAAGCGGGGTGTAGCCTTGCGCGGCGAAGTTGTTGATCTGGATGAACCCCATACCGGCAATGACCTGCTCTGCGGTCTTGCCCGTGACCTTGGCGGCGGCCTGCACCACCGTCTGCGTGTACTCATCGCTGTACTTCTTGTAGAAGTTGTTCTTGGGGTCTTCGCCCAGCTCGGCGTACAGCTCCTTCAGCAGTCGCTCCCCATCGTCCAGTGACTCGATCCACTCCAACGTGGCCGTCGTGATGAACCCATACATCTGTATGTGTGTGTGTGTGTGTGTGTGTGTGTGTGTGTGTTTGATGTGTGCGTTTGATGTGTGTTTGATGTGTGTGTATGTGTTTGTTTGATGTGTGTGTTTGATGTGTGTGTTTGATGTGTTTGTGTGTGTGTGTGGAAAGAATGAATGAGCGTGAGGATGCGACAAGAGTTGCGTGGTTGGAGGTTGTTGTCATTGTGCGTGAATGTCGTTGTCGATGCATTGACAGGATCAAAAGCCTGTTGGCGTGTCTCCATCTCCCTCCCTCACACACATCCACATACACACACACACACACACACACACACACAACAAACACACACACACTCTCTCTCTCTGATGCAACAACGCATGCGTCACACGCCGAACAACATTGCACGACACCTCCATCCCACCTCGTTCTCTTCGATGCCACGTCAATCACCTCCGCCCTTGATGGAAAGCAAACCTTGCGTGTTGCAGATGAGCAAGTTTGTTTTCGTTGGGGGGAGGTGATGAAGCTTGCTTCGCTCGCTGCCTTGCTGCCTTGCGTGTTGTTCGCTTGGGTTGACGGTGGAATGTGCTCACCCTTCACACACCAACCAACCAACCAGTAAGTAGCCAGGTCACGCGGAAGCGTAGGTGCTGCTTGGGTGAGAATGGAAGGATGGAGGGCACAAAGGCAGACGAACACACACGCACGAACGTATTGATTGATGTGAAGCGAGAAATGGCTTCGTCTCGCTGACTCGACTGGCTGGCAACCCTTGTTCGCACCAAAGCCCTCGCACACCACGACTGCATGCCAACAACAACCAGCAACCAACACACAGCACCCAATCCCGCCTTTACCTGCTGCACTGCTTGGCTTGTGGGTTGTGTTCGTGTTCGTGATTGAGGTCGTGGTGGCGAACAAGCAACCTGTCGAAGTCTGCAGAAAATACGTGCATACTTTTGCATGAAATTCAGCAAGTCGGTTTCATCATTGGCCAGTTGGGTGAACATGGCGCAAACAGCGAGGCAGGACGACCAACACAACCGGACAAGTGATGTCATCCGACATTGCCAACGGTCAGGCAGGCGAAGCGAAGAGGAGCGAGCTGGTGCGAAGGCACGCACACTGACAAACGCCAGGCCACAAAGCTGTTGATGAAGGACTTTGTGCTGCTGTGCTGCTGCCTCTGTACTTGCCCTTGCCTGCAGGCAGAGAGAAGAAGGAAGAAGATAACAGGATAACGACCAAAAACGAACGACAGCAAAGAAGGGAAGAAGGACACCCGCCACACACACACACACACATCCGCACACACACACACCACAATCATACACACACCACGCACCTCACACACACGCAGACATCCGCACGCACACACACACACACACACCACACACACACACACATGAAACAATGCTGAGTCGGATCAAGCGTTGGAAGAGTCGACGTAGCACAAGGCGTGGACGCCGTCGATATGATGACCCGGAAGCAAGCAGCAGTGTGAGGGTGACAGGCGATCGCACGCATGGAGGAGATGCCGCTAATGCGCTGGGCATGCGCACTGAGACTGACAGCAACCACAGCTCAGGTTCTTCCGGGGGAAGCGGTGAGCTGGACCACGTCACAGGGCACCAACGCCACTTTATCAACCGTGAAACACACCAGCCAGAGACGGTGCGCTTGCAGTGCGTCTGTGTCTGTGTGTGTGTGTGTGTGTCTGTAGTGATGTGTGTCTGTGTCTGTGTCTGTGTCTGTGTCTGTCTGTCTGTCTGTCCGTCTGTGCTGCTTGGCGACGGCATACTCTTTGTGGCACAGAACAAGTTACCCTCCCGCAACGTCAACACAGTCTCTTGCCCCTTTTGCTTCGTTTGCTCGCCATATGCAGCACTCACACCTGACTCACAAACTCAACTCCAACGACAACAACCCATCACATCCAACAGCTTGAGAGCATCATCAAGAGTGCAAATGCACGCGCCTCCATGGCGACCCTCAGTTACACAAGTACGGTACATGCTGTGTGACCCAGCAAGGCTGGGGGAACGATTGCTGCGCTTAGCAATCACTGCCATCTCTTGCGAGAGAGACCAACCTACCCACAAACACACGTGTGCATGCTCGCACTCGCGCAAGCACACTATCACACGCACGCACACACCCACACACGCATGCACGCACTCGCGCAAGCACACTATCTCACGCACACACACACACGTGCATGCTCACATTTGTGCGAGCATACTCTCACGCGTGCAACACAACGCACACCGACGTGGTGCAGGTTCCAAATCGTCCATCTATGATGAGCTGGACAGCATCGCCGCGCAAACACCATCGCCAAAGCTGTTGCTTGCAGGCACCGCGTCGTCTGCAGACCACCAACAGCACGCAGTTAACGACGCCGATGCACCCGTGCGCGTGCGCCCCAATGAGAGCTTCTCCTGCCTCTACTCCCCAGCATCAAAGAGTACGATAGACTACCTGTGTGCACACCTGCATTGCTTGCAGCCTTGTCATTCGCCTTCGCGTGCTCGCTTTGAATGAACAGCACACGTATGGACCTTGACGTTCGCTGACCACACACACACACACACACACACACACACACACACACACACACACACACACACACATATGCACAACTGTTGACCCTTATTCCTCCCTCCCCCTTCCTTCCTGCCTTCCTCACCCGTCAGATGGATCACCGCGCATGAACCCGCCGTCGACCTCGATTGCGCTCGAATCGCACGTGGAGGAGAAATTTGACCATCGTGCAGACTCATCCCCATTCACAGGCACGATGGACGCATGCAACGCAGACATGATCATCGCACATGGCTGCACACCCGCGCATGCCACGCATCACGACAACCGCACACGTGACATCGCTCATGTGACCGTGCAAGGTGGTGACAACACGGCTGCTGCACCCATCATCAGCAAAGCGAGGAGCGACAGGGCACCGCCGCTGTCCACACCATGGCGGCTCAGCCCCATTGTGGAGTGCAGCGAGGCGCCCAGCACGGGCCGCACAAGCCGCGCAACTCCAACACTCGACCTGTCAGCCACGCCCAGCACAGAGGCGATGACCATGCATGCGACAACCAAACTCCATCACCAACTGCAACAAGGAAGCTCGCAACTCGCACACCACCAGCACCAGACGCAGGTGAGGTCTGATGAGCCGAGTGATGGGCAGTACCAGAACACAGACAACAACATCAGCTTTGAAGACGACGATGATGATGACTGTGCTGGTGCTGGCGATGAACAGGAGGATGCTGACGCTGCAACAACAGACCAACAACAGCACAGAAAGCGCAGCAGCGTGATGGCGCGCATCAAAGAGATGGAAGAGATGGAAGACGCTTGGCAGGAGCTGTTCCGGAAGACTTTCGGCCGGGACCTGAGCGCCGACAACGATGATGGCTGTAGCGATGACAGCTGTGGACGTCGTGACAGTGCCGGGCACGAAGAGATGACAGCTGGCGGCACGCTTGACGATAGTGCATGGAACGCAACTGCAGCATCAGCAACATCACCGCCGCAATCGCCGCTCACCTCTCTTCCACCATCGCCCGCCGGGGCGAGGCAGCTGCTCACGGAGACATTCTCATTCTCCGGCGAACCCCAACGTACGTGATTGAACTTGTACTGTATGGTTTTGTGTAGGTGTGGGTGGGTGCGGGTGTGTAGGTGTGGGTGGGTGCGGGTGTGCGTGTGTGGGGTTGTGGGGGTGCGTGTGTGGGTGTGGGTGTGGGCACTCTCCAATGATCTCATTCGATTCGTGCTCACCTCCGGCCTGTTCACATTATGCTCTCTCTCTCTCTCAGCGCGCTCGCGCAATAAGAGTTTTCTCGACGCCCTTGAAAGCAAGGACAGCGCGATCATTGATGGTGGTGATGGCAGCGATGACACAATGCAGCATCTCTCAACACTCATGGAGGAGGACACAGAGGATGAGGAGGAGAAGGAGGAGGAGGAGGATGACGTCTTCGAAGAAGGTGGGCGTTGGTGTGTAGTTGTGCTTCTGCGTGGATGTTGGGTTGGATGTCTGTTCGTTTGGGTGCTTGTCTTGTGCGTACATGTCTCTGTGCACGCTGCTTTTGCGCTTCAACCTGCAGACGATTTGGTGCCCCAGCTCAAACACGTGCTTATTATACCCCTCACACGCCTCGCGCCATCCTCTCCACACCGCATCATGCAGACACGGTGTTTGCAACTGGGCAGTGCTCCCTCAATGACAGCCTGCGCACGTTCGCGTCACCGCAGCGGCGCACGCGTGCGCGCAGCTTTCTCCAGGCAACACGAGAGCTGGGGCTTGGCGGCGGTACGAGCATATACTTGCACGCTGTACTTGGAGACTGCCTGTATGCGTCTGTCTGTCTGTCTGTCTGTCTGTCTGTCTGTCTGTCTGCCTGCCTGTACCCGTCTGTCATTTGCTTGTTTTCGTCCCAACCCCGGAATTCCGTTCTCGCTGATAGTTGGAATACAACCATCACCAACCACCCCAACTCACACACACACACATTCACACATAAACACATACACACACACACCCCCACACCCCCACAACCTGTCTCCAGATGATGACCTCCCAAATGCAAGCGATGATACTGCCCCCACAGCAGACAAACTTCAGCAGGAACCAGCGGCAAGCAACAACGTCTCACCTCAAGTATACACGTCGGCACAGGAGAACACGCAAGTGCCCGCCAGCCCACCAACTAGCCCTTCCAATAACATGAAAGGCGGCGCGGCACGCATGTGCACGCCCGCGGCCCTCGCTCGTGTCCGACGTGACAGTGGCGTCAAGTCGAAAGGGAAGGTGGTGCCTGCAAGCAACAACATCGCATCTGATGAGTTGGCAGAAGAGGTTGTTTTCTGCTGCGATGAGGACGAAGACGACGATGACATGCGTCCAAGCAGTGCACCTGCGTGGGGCAGGCGTGTTGGTCATTTTTTCGCTCACGATGATGATAGCGACGAAGAGGACGATGTAGACAGAGGCGAGGGCATGGACAACAACAACAACAGCAACAACAACAACAGCAATAGCAACAGTGTCTGCACTAGTGATGGCGCTGGGCATTACAACCATGGCCGTGGTGCAAACAGCCAGAGAATGCATGACGACAGCGATGACACCAGCACCAACGGTCGCAGCAGCGGCAATACCACGAAGGACCACACCTCTTCATTGGCGGGTGATGCGAACAGCATGGATGGTGACGCGAACATGCAAAGTATGAAGACAAGGGGACGAACAGGCCGACGGTACTGGGGCACGCTCACTCGGCAGCGGCGACGACATCCGTTGCGAAGGTCTGTCAGCAACTCGGATGTGCGCGTGCCTGCAGGCAAGCGCAAGGACAGCAACACGACGTGTGACAACAACAACACCGGCAGCAACAACGACCGTGCCTCGAACCCAAACACGAGCAGCACAAGCACGCCGAAGCAACGAACGAGGCGCACGCCGCGCTGGGCACGAAACCGTTTCCACGCCGCTGCTGTGCGGGCGCGTGGGTGTGGCGGGGTATCGTGGCAAAAGTTCAACTCCGATCTGAACAACAGCATCTCAAAGTTTGAGGCCGCCCTGGGCAAGCTCAAGTCAGTTGGTTGGCATGTTGTTCTTGTACTGCTCTTGTTGGCTGAATCGTGTGGTGGCTGGAGTGGTGTTGTGATGATGGTGGCGGTTGTGGCAGGGAGAAGAGGCGGGTACGTGTGGGTGGGTTAATGTTGAAGTTGTATCTCGACCTGATTTTGCTCTAACACTGTGCCGCTCTCTTGACACGCTTGGTTGTGGTTGTGTTCTCACTTGGTCTGTCGCTCACGATGCAGGTCTAACCGTCAGTCGATGAGCAAGCGAAAGTCACGCAGCGCCGAACAACAGCAACAACAACAACAACAACAACAACAACAACAACAACAACAACAGCAACAACAGCAACAACAGGTGCCACAACAGCAACAACAGGTGCCACAACAGCAGCAGCAGCAGCAGCGTGGCGACGTGGCAATGCCAAAGTATGTCGAATTGTCGTGTCGTGGGTCCCTGTCATTGTTTAGGTCTTCACCTGCCTCGTCGTTTACCTCCTCATCATTCACATCGCATGCTCACGCCACCACATCACACAATCACGCTGCAACTATAACGCCGCCCCTTGATCTCTTTGCCACCTGCCATCACGCCCAGCCTCCCCATTGTCCGATCAAGTCGACCCACGTCCCCGTGTGCCGTGTACGCTCCTCGCGTCTCCGTGGACAGTGTTGCTGTATCTGCTTGCTCGTCCCGCTGCAGCAGTGCACGCAGTAGCTTCAGACGTCGCTCTCTCCGTCGTGGAAACGACAGCGACCCCGTGCCTGCAAGCAACGGCAATGGCGTCCATCATCCAACACCATATGATGCAAAGCAATCAAACAGCAACTTCACACAACAACAACAGCAGCAGCAACAACAACAACAGCAGCAGCGTGTCGGTATGTCTGGGCCTACGTACACGCGTGCGCATGCGCGAGAGTCTGTGGGCAATGCGTCCACTTGCAGCCGCGATTCGATTGTATTCTCATTTGACGACGATGCTGTGGATCATGCCATTCGTGCTGCCCATCGTGAGTCGGAGCCATCCAACACCACAACAGCCCACGCCAACACAACTGCTGCGCATCATGCTGATCACAAACACCAGCAGCTGCGACGAAAGACTGAAGGCAGCAACCGAGCCAGCGTCGTCCATCACCACCAACATGAACATCAGCATCACCACCAGCATCAACACCAGCATCGCCAACAGCACAATCAACACAACGAACAGCCCCAGCACCAGCACCAACCCCACACGCCACCAGCCACGAGTCGGGGTCTTGTTCGCACCTCCAGCAGTCGGCGGTCACGCCCTCGTCGCAGCTCCCCGCTCGCCGTCTCTGCAATGAGGGGAGCACGCATGATGGATGCGGGCGCGACGGGCAACGACACAGTGATGTGGTCGTCGTCACCAGTGCAACATCAGGGTGGATATGGCAGCGGTGGTGGTGGTCGGTTGTCTGTGAGCGCAGCGTTCGGCGTCAATAGCCCGCGTGCATATGGACAGAGCAGTAGCAACAACAGCCCACATCCAGCGAGCCATTCACCAGCAATCACACCCCAGCACGACCCCCAACAAGTGCAACTGCGCCAATCCCCAGGTAGGAGGGCATGTGTGTGTGTGTGTGTGTGTGTGTGTGTGTGTGTGTGTGTGTGTGTTTGGGTGGGAAATGAGTTTTGCCGTGGAAATGTGTTCTTGTGTGCATACCTGCTCGTGATTCGATCCACTCATAGAATGCTCTGATCTGTGATTGAACCAGGCGCAACGAGTCCGCGAATGCAGCGTGATGCGCGCATTTCGTGTCCAGGTGCGTCTGATCGTTGTTGTGACACTTCGAGGGTCCATACAGGATGCATCACCTTGTACACGGCTTAACTCATACACGCTCACTCATACACGCACTCATACACGCACTCATACACGCACTCACAATCACGCACTCACACTCACATGCTTGCGCGTGCCCCCTGTCCATGGCTCCTCCAATGCAGGTGTGGATGAGGACGTGGTGTTCTCCCCTGGCGGTGACTCGGCCTGGCTCTCTCGCCTCTCCGGGTTTTCAGACGACGGCAACAGCCCCATCCGTCGACAGAGCGCCAGCCCAAGACCAAGCCAGGACGCAAGCGTGCAAGGTTTGTGTGTGCGTGGTGCATCTGCCTGCATGTTTTTATGTCTGTCCGTCTGTACACGTACACGCGTGTATACATGTGTCTCTGCGCGTGTATGTGCCTTGCACTCTACTTGCCTGCCCATGTGTTTGCACCGCCACGATACTCTCCATCGCACAAACATTTGAATGCGGCTTTGTGCACTCAGCTCATCCGCCTTGTCTGACTCGCCACCTTTTTAGTGCAACTGCCGGATGACGACGGTCCGTCTCCTTTCAAGCGGAGCACATGCAACACATGTGAGTATGCGTTCTGCCGTTTCAGGACTCGAACGAAACACGCCATTTTCGTGCTTGCAAGCAAGAAACCCAACAATCATGGGCAATTTACGCATTACCACCCCCATCGTCCACCATGCACAAGTCTTTCACGCTCATGTTTCGCCTCGCTCTTCCCTTTCTTCTCCTTCCATCCCTTCTAACCCTCCCAACACCTCCTGTTCCTGTTCTGTCCTTCAACATATGCACAGCGTCATCTGTGGGCCAGCGCCGTAGTTTCCGTGACCATCGACCGCCACCCTTGAAGTGGAGCGAAGAGTCGCAGGGTACCAGTGCACATGGCGTGCAGGGCAAAGGCAAGCGCAAGCAAGAGACACAGCCCGCTGCTTCCGTTGCAACGAGTGCACATAGACATGTTGCTGCGCCCACGTCCACGCCGTGCTCTTCTGGAGCCCCCAGCTCGCGTGCCAGCCAGTCATCCAGCATCTACCATCAAATCACGTGAGTCCTGCTGTATGTATGTATGTATGTGTGTGTGGGGGGGGGGTCCTTTTTTCGACGTTTAGGGCTGTTCTTGAGCCGCTCTCTCGCATCGCATCACTAACTTGCTTTCTCCATTTCTCATCTCATCGTTGGCAAATATGTGCTTGTCCTCTTGTTCTCTTGTACTCGTGAAGGGAGGACCAAGCCGAGGACTTGTGCACCACTGCGTCGTTTTGCTGAAGAGAGAATCCTGTCTTGTTCTTCGTGTGCACCGTTCGTGCACCGTGCACCAGCCATACCGCCATGCAGATGCTTGCAAGCAACCAAGCAACCGTGCGAGTGAGGATTGCTTTGCACCACAACTCGTTGAGGTTGAGTCGTTGCCTTCCTTCAGTCCTTTCCCCCTTGCCGTTACTCGCCTTTTTCTAGGACAATGTCCTATAATAAGTCATTCGCAACAACGAACGGAATGGAGCAGAGGGAGGACAAGACAACAACAACAGCTGCTGATGGTGGTGGTGGTGATGTGTGGGGCGATGACGAGCGCACACGCGGGCTGGAGGGCGCAGCAGTGAAGCGTGGAGAAGGCAACCACACGCAGGAGAAGGCAAAGCAGAGAAAGGAAGACGATGGCCCGCGTGCTGTGAAAGTGGCGATGGACGTGCCGCTGCCAGGACGCGGGCAGTGCGACGTGAACATCTTCCTTGATCGAGTTGACGCTGACAACAACAGCGGTGACGCGAGTGACGACGAGCGTGAAGATGACAATGATCATCACGATAATGAAGCTGGTAGTGCCGGTCAACAGAAGGAACAACAAGGAAAGCCTGTACACGCCAGCGCAGATGATCATCACAGGGAAAGCTTGCAGCAAACAGATCGGCCCTACATCCGCGTGTGGTCCACGTTTGATTCGGGGAACCTGCAGGCGGTGCAGGCTGTGGAAGTGCCTACCCGCGACAACGACATGACCTGTAAGTGCCTGCAGTTCTCGGCATTTGGTCGTTTCGTCCCTCAAGGCTCCTAGGTCACCTTGCGGACGATCCTTTTCCCTGTGCCTCGCTCTGCTTGCTTTCTTTGGCTGTGGTGTGACTGGCCTGATCCTCCGCTCACCCGCGTTGCTGCTGCTGTTTGTGTGTGTTTGTGCAGTGCACTTGGAAGCTGAAGTCAGCCCCGACATCCTTGCACGGGCCAGCCAGCGCGAGCTGAAGACATGGTGCGTGCGTCAGGCGGGGCCTGTGTGGTATACTTTGACGGCGTAGCACTACGCAGCTGTGGTGTGGAAAAGGTTGGGAAGTGGGAAGGAAGGTTGAGGCCTGTTGGAGCATGGATGGCTCGCGTCTATCAAACCTTACGTCTGTGCACTGCCACGCCTCAACCGCCACGTTTCAACCGCTGTCGGCAGGTTCTACTTCAAAGTGACGCGGCTGGACCCCTCCCGTGTGCACACCCTGCGTGTGACGCTAACCAACATGACAAAACAACTCCGCCTGTATAACCAGGGCCTGACGCCCATTGTCTACCGGCAACACAAGGGCCAACAATCGGGGCGGTGTGTGCGAATGCTTTGTGTGTGTGTGTGTGTGTGTGTGTGTGTGTGTCTGTGTGTCTGTGTGTCTGTGTGTGTGTGTGTCTGTGTGTGTGTCTGTGTGTGTGTGTGTGTGTGTCTGTGTGTCTGTGTGTGTCTGTGTGTGTCTGTGTGTCTGTGTGTCTGTGTGTCTGTGTGTCTGTGTGTCTGTGCAGAGACTTTGCTATCTATCTCTGCCCAATGCTGTGCTGGTGGTTCACTCATCATCCCGCATCGCGCCTCTCGCCACTTACATACCACACCACGCGCACCACGTGCGTGTCCGCACACCATCGCATGGGTGCAGATGGGGCCGCTACTGCAGCAGCGTGGATGCAGAGCTGGATGACGACGGCGACTTCTTGCTCTCGTTCACATATGTTGTCGACGACACGCACACACGCGACAGCATCGTTGGCTTTGCCTTCTGCTATCCATTCTCCTACACCGAATGCGAACACATGCTCGCCTCCTATGACAAGCGCTTCAACCACGAGGTCGGGACGCTTCTGTGTGTGTGTTTGTGTGTGTGTGTGTGCATGTGTGTGTGCATGTGTGTTTGTATAGATGTGTGTGTGTGCATGTGTGTGTGCTTGTGTGTTTGGAAGGATGTGTGTTCGTCGTGTGAGTCTTTGCGCGCATTTGTGCGGCTGCCAACGTGTTTGGCGACCTTGTCCGTGCGTGTTTGACCATCACCATGCATCCCTTTCCTTGAACCAACTCGCCGCCTGCATCATTCCGTCTCGCAACACTCCTCCTCCCCTCCCCCTCTTCACATGTGCAGGCGAGCGCTGCTGACGCCGGCGTTTACTTCCACCGTGAAGTCGTGTGCAAATCGCGCGATGGACGCAGCGTCCACCTTGTCACCATCACCGCCAACGATGACGGCCTATCTGTGGACCAGCGTGAACCTCGCATTCCTCCGCTCTTCCCCGATCGAAACACGAAGCGACCGCGGGTGGCCCCAGACAGGCCGGTGGGCATGGTTGTCTGTGTCTGTCTGTCTGTGCGTGTGTGTCTGTATATATGTAGTGGAACACCTTACGCGTTCGTGCAGGTGTGTATGTACGTGTGTATGAGTGTGCACGTATTGCTTCTCGCTTGGGCATGAAGATCATCACAATTCAACACCCAACCACCCCCCCCCCCCTTTCCACCATCACCACCGCTGCCAGGTATTCTTCGTGAGCGCGCGTGTGCATCCCGGGGAGACGCCGGCCTCGCACGTGTGCAATGGCATCATCGACTTTGTCCTCAACACAGAGGTAAGCACGTGATTGTGATTGCGGGCGGTGGTACAGCTTTTTGGGCCCGTGGCTGCGTGTGTGCATGTGTCTGTGTGTATGTGTGTGTGTGTGTGTCTATGTGTCTGTCTGTCGTGCTTCATCGTGTTCAAAGGCGCACCATGCGTTGTGCATCACGCACACATGCACACATGTGCACACCTACACACACACATGTGCACACATGCCCGTACATGTCTCCTCTGTTATACTCGCCACTGTACAGGACGCGCGTGCGTGTGCGCTTCGCTCGATGTTCGTCTTCAAAATCATTCCGATGCTCAACCCGGACGGTGCGTGGCGTGGCGAGCGATGCTTGATGTGACGCGCGCGCTTGTGTGTGTGTGTGTGTGTGTGTGTGTGTGTGTGTGTGTGTGTGTGTGTGCACTGTGTGTGTGTGTG